TTCATCCCTTTCAAGCGGTTTGATTTTCTTGATTGCGTTGAGTGCTTTGTAGCGTTCTCGTCATTGACATCTTTGTTAGATTTTATTTCGCCATAGTAAGTAACATACCCGACGTTTGTTTCTTAACATGACTCTAAAGAAAACAAATCGATGACGGTTCGGCAACAATCAACTGCAGTAAAGATGAAAACTGTTGAAAACCTTATGATTTTTTTCGCTAATAAGCTAAATCATATGATAGAAATTGTTATTTCGACGTCAAAGTTTGGTTGAAAAAGTCCATGTGTGAAGTAGTATTCGTTATGTTTAATTATAACGTAAATATGATTTCATGTTTGATGATTATTTTTTGTTCATTTCATGTTTAATGTATCAGAATCATTATTCGACATGCAGCGTTTCGTGTATCGTATTCAAAAGTTTCTCTGTTGAAAGTGTACATTTGGTGTTTTATAGTTGTTGAATGAATTCAACCACCAACACACTAAATGTCACAATTCTTCTGGCAGACTGCACTCCAGAATCCGGCACCGCAGAATGAGCCGCACCAGAATCGTGTTCAGAATCAAAGTGCTGTGCCGTCACAAAATTTGACAGCACCAACAATGACGACGACGTCAAATCAAGATGATATCGGTTGGAGTAGTATTGGACTTGCGAACAATGCNCCACAGCAAACAAATCATTCGATGCAACAGCCACAACAACTTAATCAGCAGCACTTCTACACCACGACAAATAATCCCAGCATAACCGCATCAGAATATTCGGTTGGTTTTCATTTATTTACGGAGGAAATTTAGCTGAACAATGGGTTTTGTTTTAGAATTACTTGAGGGATATATTCGTTCATTTGGTTTATTATTTGCAGTCGCTAGCATCAGATCCGTATGGTGCAGCTGTTCTTCAAGGGTACAGTGCCAGTTCGGCTTCGGGTTATCAGTTCGCTTATCAAACGCCACCAAACAGCCAAACTGAACAGTTGAATTACGTCGTCAGTGGCGGCTACGAAAATGCTCAAAACAATAATAATAAGAACAATTTTTATGGTATTTCTGAGGAGGATTCAAACACACTCTATCATAATCAGGTGATTTATTTTTGTTGAGATAACGACAGTAAACAATGAAATGATAATGTTGCATAGTATTTCAATTAGTTAAATCCATTTTATTCAATGATGATCAGATCATTTGAGTAAGTAATTGTGTAATCAAAGGAACGAAGGATTAGATCACATTTCATGAAGGTGTTTGTGCTATGAAGCGTGGAAATTTAGAGAAGGAATTCGACTAGAATAGGCTGGCAAGAAAATTTTAAAATATGTAGATTGTTTTTCGGTTGAGGAAGTTCATTTGTCATAGAATTTGTCAAATTTCGCACTGGTTTCCACTCGATGAAATATAATGAATCGTTCTGAAATGATCGAATGGAAGTGGTTTCAGCTGGGTGGTGTGACTAACTACATGGAAGGCGGCAATAATTATTATCAACAACAACAACA